GTGCCACTCTAGCTGAAGGTCTCTGGGCTGTCAAGGGTGGTAAGATTCCAGCCAGAACTTTGCATCCTAAGGCTGGGCCACTTCAATAAGCCACATGAGAACGACTCATGCGCTGAGACAAAGGCAGCAGCTGGCAGGTCGATGTGGCCATGGAGTTCTGCAAGGCTTAACTGCTGTGAGAAACCCACAGCCTCTCAGTGAAGGAAGGGGATCAGCAGCCTCCACACACATTGGATCCCTTACCTTCTTCCACACCCCTGTGCTGAGGCTGACATCCTCCCTTCCCTTCTCTCCCAGGAAGCCCAGGGGGTGGGGGGCTAGCTGGGCATCCTGGCAGCCCTCCAAGCAGGCGGAGGGAGGAACTGTCCAGCAGGAGTGCTGCTCTTTGGCTTTCCCCACAGAACCAGGAACATGCAAGGTGCCCAGGGAGTAATGTCTGTTGTGTCAGGAAGCCCTGTGAGTAAAGAGATGCCACAAGCATTTATTTTGCTTGTTCACTGAGAGTCTGCATCCTTATTTCCCCCGTCTATATCCATTAAACTGGACTTCCTCTTTGACACTGATGGTTTCATTTCTTCCTAAGTATTCTTAAAGCTGAAGTGCCTTGGCTAGACCAGGAACCCTGAGCTGAAAATGGTACCCACCCGAAGAGGCTGCTTGATGCAGCCCTGTGTCATGCATTGCTCTGGCCTAGCCTCCTGTGAATCAGTTTCCTCTGAAACTGGATAAATCCTCATGCAGCTCAGAGAAGCTGCAAAATTACTCGTTCTTGATGGGCCTCTGTATGAGTCACTGTTCTGTCCCAAGTTTCTTGTCGTTCCCTGCCTCCTGCTTCTTCCTTCTACTGGAAGACAGGCACTCTGCTACATCTTGCGTTAGAGGTGATTAGAGCATTCCACTGCTGCCATGACAGGAAAGCAGCAACGTTGCCCAGCTGGAAAACAGGCTGCCTGTCACATCTCTCTGTGAGTCTCCGCTCTCTCCGTTCGGGTGGAAGGCTGTGCAGCATGGTGCCTTACCCAGAGTTGCAGGCATGTGTAGAGTCGTTCTGAGTGAACATCACCGCTCATCCATTGGGGTAGGGGAACTTTTTTTTCCTGCTGCCTTCCCTCATGGATCGTCTGCAAGATCCTGTTGCTGATGTAGGACCAGTTCCAAAGAGGACGAGGCACCCTCTTTTGGCCTCTCTTTTTCTCCCTGGAGCTTGGCCTCGCAAGGATGCAGCACCAGCACTAAAACAAAACAAATATGCCTTCATCATTTGCCACCCCCACCCCCCAGAATGGCTTGTTTCGTCTAAGCTTAGCTGTAATCTTGTTCCCTGCTGTATTTTGGGGTAGCATGACCACCCAGAGGACGTTTGACCCCACTTTTGGATTATCTGAATTGTCATATCCAGGTCATGGTTGCTAGGATATTTCATGCCTGGTGTCATGGTTTGCTGCTGCTGCTAATAGTAGCAGCAGCAGTAGTAGTAATAGTTGTAGTAGCAGTAATACCCCAAAGACACCCACTCACTTTACAAAAGACCTGTTCCTGGGAGAGACAAAAGAACCAGAACTGGTTTAGATCAACACACTACATGAACTTTTGGAGGCCATATGGAGAGTGATATCTCCCTGTATTTACTTATTATTTATTTATTGCATTTATATATAGCCCCAATAACCCAGGGGGCCACTGTAAGAAGCTGCCGCCACTGCCGCCGCCGCCTCCTCTTTGGACACTCTTTCCTTCTTCCTCCCTTCCTCTCCCTCTGTGCCCAGTGAAAGTGAAAGCCTGCTCTTGCCATCAGCCTAAAATGATCACCTGCATTTGCTATTACTTGTAAAGCTAGGCCAAAGGCTACACACAGCCTTAGGTGGCCCGAGTCAAGAAATTCTCATTCATCTGCTGAACAGGCGTATGACTCAAACAATATTTTGAGCAGAGAAGTGTAATGTTTGCTGTTTTTAGGTGGTGCACATATATTGCTGGAGCTTCTTCTGAACCCAACCCTGAAATGCAGTTTAATGTTTCACATTGCTTTAATAATATGGTAGATTTTATGCATACCACTCTGAGATCTTAAGATAAATTCTTGATAAATTCTTTAAAACAAATAACATGAATACATTTTATCTGCAGTTTTGAGAAGTACTTGTATTTTATAAGTACAAAGCAATCTTCTGTCTGATGAAGCACACCTATTTATTTTTCACCCCTCATCCTCATGATTTCATTAATTATGCAACCCTGACCCTTCATTAAGGTAATCAAGGAATCAGTTCCATCCTATGGAATTGTGAAGACGGTTCTTCCGAGGAAGGCCTTTCTCGGTCGCTGCTTTCATTGCGCAATCAACCTCAATGCTTCTGGCTCCGGGCTCTGGGTGGGCTTTTTGTTTGTTTTAAACTTGTCTAGCATTTTAAGTAGAATGTTGACTGCGCAAAGGCGGGATATGCATTTGCGGCGCAAACAAAGCAAGGGCTACCGCCCTCTGCAAAAGTACATCCTTCCAGGTATGATAGCTTAAGCGTGTCTCCAAGAAAGAAGCGTGCCTTCTGCATCAGATTTTGGGAGACTCCCCGTGCACGCTCTCGCTCGCTGTTCCAAAGGTGGCATCCTTTGTTTCCCCCGGCCGGGGGAGCGTTCCTGAGAGCTCGCCTCTGCCGCTTCTTAAGGGCTGCTCCTGCTCCTGCTCCTCCCCTCCTCCTCCTCCTCCTCCTCGCCAGCCCAAAGTGCACGTGGCTGGTGAAGGCGGAGCAAGACCCCCCCTCTGAGGAGAAGCCACGCCCCCTCCTCCAGGAGCCAGCGCCGGCTCGCCAAGCTGCTTGAATGGAAAGGAGCCGGCGCATCCCTTTCCCTCCCCGTAACCCTTTAAACGGTGGGAGAGGGTGGCGCGCCGTGCGCATGTCACAGGGAGGGAAGAAGGGAGCGGGCGGGCACAGTGCAGGGCTTTCCCGATTAGAGCTCGGCGAGATGCGCCCACCTTTCGCCTCCCGTTGCCGGATTCCAGGCGCAGAGCTTTGGGGATCTTTGCTGGTTAGTGACAAAGAAAGGAAAGGCGCTCCAGAATCGGCTAGAAAGTAGCTCTTCAAGGCGCGGCAGATCTTTGTTTCCTGCACTGCACTGCACGCCCGGCTGGTTGCTGCAAACGGAATAAAGCGCTGGGCGTGCTGGATGCATGGTGTGTGTGCTGCGTGTCCCTAGCGCAGCGCTACCGAGCGGACGGGGCACGATCCATAGCGCCGTCTCGCCCCGCCTGCTCCCGCGTGCGCCCGTTTTCTGGGCCTGCACCTTCAGGGCGCAATTCTTGGCATGTTCGGACGGAACCGAATCTGACAACCCCTGGCGTGTCCCCGCCAGCTTGGTTCCGTCTCGGTTACGTCTGAACGTGCATAGCAGATGCAAAGAAAGACCCCCTCCAGTGCCCCGCTCTGGGGAAGCCGCACCCCTCCGATCTGCCGGCGTTGGCCAGCGTTGCCCCTAAACTGGAGAGGGCCGCGATGACTCGCGGGGCTGGGTGCGGGAAACCGCTCGCTCTTTCTCTGCACATGGTCAGAGGATCTTGTTGAGCCCCTCTCCCTCCACAGTTGGAGTACTCCGATTTTAAGACAGGTTGGGCGTGCCGGGGAGTTATGGGTGGGTGGATTTTGGGGGAAGGTTCCCAAGATGAATTATATTCCGCTCCGTCCTGCTGCTGCCTGACCTCCCCCACTTCCAGCCCCCCAGAACGGGTTGGGCGACTGCGCGCACCTCTCCAGCCCCGCTGTCAGCGCGTCACACCCCTTCCTCCCGGGCCCCTCACCCATGCCGTGCGGGCCTCCTCGGGAGGCGCACGCAGGTCGCTCCCCACCCACCCACGACGTGGATCGATTTCCCCACTCCCCGTCCCTCTGCGCAATCTCCCTCTCCACCGATCTGGCTCGGGGCGCGGGGGGCGAGGTTGGGGCGTGGGAGCGGCGCTCTCGGGGACGGGGAACAAAGAGGATCGAACCTCCTCGATCTTTTCCTCATTGCGCCCCCCTCCTTTGGAAAGGCGGGGGCGAAAACGAAAGTGGCGGATCCCTCGCCATGTGCCACTGCCCGGCGGATCATTAGGCGGAACAGGGGCGAGCGAATACGCATCGCCTTCTCGCTTTCGCTCTTCTCCGCTCTCCTTTCATTGTTCTGCATTAGACAACAAAGAAGCGAGGAGCCGAGCCTCGGAGGGGCGGGGCCGGGCCGCCCATGGCCCGCCCCCGGGGCCGGGCCCGCCAATGGCCGCGCGCAGCGGCTCCTCGCTCGCCCGGTCGGCCCCGCGCCGCTGACGCCGCGGCGCTGCTTCCTCCCCTCCCCCTCCCCCAGCGCTGTCTGGTTGCAGCAGAGCTCAGACAGAAAAGAGGGGGTGGAGAAAGCGAGCGAGAGCCGGGGGGGGGGGGGAGGAGGAGGAGAGGAGGAGGAGGAGGGGGAGAAAAAAACGGAGAAAGAGAAATCGCTCCGTGAGTGGAGGCTGGGAGGGGCTCCTTAAAGAAACGCTGCCATCGCCTGGCATTGTGGCCAGCACAAGACTCGCGGGGGGGAGGGAAAAAAGGCACCGGAGCGCTTCTCTGCCGTCGCTGCACGCCCCCCCAACCCCACTTCCCCCCCGGCAGGCCAGGAAAAAAGCTTGGGGGGGAATCTGGGGGGGGTTCTTGGAAAGCGTCTTATAAACCGGATTGCACTGGAAAGGACGGAGATTTTTATTTTTATTTTTATTTTTAAGCGGATCGGCACCAGGAAACTACATTTTTTTCCAGGGTGAATGTGGGGAATTATTCTGTTGTTGTTCTAAGCCGGCATCCAGGAACTGCTTCCCGGGCTCTCCAGCTGCTCGTGCCTCCGTTTCCTCCGCCGCCGCCGCCGCCGGCCATCTGCCTTCGCTTCCTTCTTTGTGTCTGATTTTCTTGGCTCCCCCACCCCCCCGCCGCCGCCACCGCTGGTCTGAGTGCAGGAGGGAAAGGAAGAGGAGGGCGCGATCCTACACATCCACCGGGACTATGCCCAGCTCGCTGTTTGCGGACATGGAGCGGAATGGGGGCGGCGGCGGCGGCGGCGGCGGCGGCGGCGAGACCCTGGACGACCAAAGAGCCCTTCAGATTGCCTTGGATCAGCTCTCCCTGCTGGGCTTGGACAACGACGAGACGGGCTGCCTGTACGACAGCGAGCCGCGCAAGAAGAGCGTGAACATGACCGAGTGCGTCCCCGTGCCCAGCTCCGAGCACGTCGCCGAGATCGTGGGCAGGCAAGGTGGGCAGCGCTCGGCTCGCTGGTGCATGCGGACGGATGCGCCTCCACCGGGGAAGGCGCGGGGGCGAGCGGCCCGCGCCCTGCCCACGCCGCCGGCCGCGTCCGCGGGTTTGCGTTCGGCTTCGCCCTCGGCTCCGGACGCCGACGCGGCTCCCCTCCCCGCCCCATGGAGCTGCGGTGCCGGTGGCCAGCCTGGCTGCCCCGCTCGGCGCCCCCGCCCCCCCGGCAGAGACAAAGAAAGTGAGTCGGGCGCGCGGCGGTGGGCGCGCGGTGCGCATCCGCGGGCAGCCAGATGTGTTTACGCCGCGCCGCGCGGCTCCCGCTCCTCGAGAGATGCGGGAAGAGCGAGCCCCGGGGAGCGGACCGCCGGAGGGGGGCACGCGGCGCGCGCGTTTATCGGTGCTTTTCCGCGGCGTTCCGGGGGGTTCCCTTGGAAGGCATGGCGGAGAGGAGGCGAACAATGGGGTCGCGTTCGCAGCCTCCGCATGACGAGCCCGGGAGAGTTGGGGCCACTGGCCTCTTTGTTGCATCTGCGGGTGTGGAGATTTGCCCCTCTCCCCTCGGCTGGCTGGCTGGCTTTTCCAACTCCCCTTATTTCATTTCCCAGCGGAATGTGTGCACAGTACGAGTGGAACTATGGCTTTTTTTGTTTCTGTTTTAAAGGGGGCGTTGTAAATTGGTGTTGCCACTTGCCCTGGATGCAGCGGGCGTTACAGGGCATCGTTTTTAGCGTTGCCTTTTCCCCTGTCTCTCGTTTGCATTGTTGGTTTCTCCGCTCCGAATCTCCTCCCCCGTGCCCGGCTTCCCTGCCTTATTATCTCTATCCAACCGATCCCTTGCAAATCACGTTTTTGGCCAATGGGAATATAGGTTGGCTCGTGGACAGGGAGATGGGCGTGTGCGCGCGCGCGTGCGAGCGGCCAAGGCTGGCTTGATTGTGATTATTTTTCGTGGTACTGCAAGTGGAACTCAGTGCAATGGATACAGTGTTGGACGCGTGACAGGTTGTTTGGTTCCCCTCCCTCGGTTGCACCCAAAAAGCAGGAGGTGTAAACGGTTCTCTTTTCTTCTCCGCTTTCCCCTCCCCTCCCCTCCCCTCCCCTCCGTCCCTCCCTCCCCCTCCTCCTCCGTCTCCCCTTCAGGTTGTAAAATCAAAGCGCTGCGGGCAAAAACTAACACCTACATCAAAACCCCAGTGCGCGGGGAAGAGCCGCTGTTCGTGGTAACGGGCAGGAAGGAGGATGTCGCCATGGCCCGGAGGGAGATCATCTCCGCGGCGGAACACTTCTCCATGATCCGCGCCTCCCGGAACAAAAACACCGTGCTGAACGGCACGGTGCCCAGCCCGCCGAACCTGCCCGGGCAGACCACCATCCAAGTGCGGGTGCCTTACCGGGTGGTCGGCCTCGTGGTGGGGCCCAAGGGGGCCACCATCAAGCGCATCCAGCAGCAGACGCACACCTACATCGTCACGCCCAGCCGCGACAAGGAGCCCGTCTTCGAGGTGACGGGCATGCCGGAGAACGTGGACCGCGCCCGCGAGGAGATCGAGGCGCACATCGCCATGCGCACGGGCGGCCTCGTCGAGCTGACGGACGACAACGACTTCCACGCCAACGGCACCGACGTGGGCTTCGAGCTGGGCGGCGGCGGCGGCGGCGGCGGGGCGGGCAGCCTCTGGAGCAAGCCCACGCCGCCGCCGCCGCCCCCGCCGCCGCCGCCGCCGCCCCCGCCGCCCTCCGCCAGCATCGCCCCGACGCCGGGCCGCAAGCCCTTCTGCAGCTACCGCAACGACAGCTCCAGCTCGCTGGGCAGCGCCTCCACCGACTCCTACTTCGGCGGCGGCGGCGGCGGCGGGGGCGGCG